AATGTTGAAATAAAACTACTAAATTACATATCCAGTCAATACAACTGCCTCACGTCGCTCCTCGCAGCTTGTGTTCCAAGGCATTGAAGAGACTCCAATAAATTTTGTACTTTTCCCTTATATAAACTATAAATAATTATTGCATCAATGGGAAAACACCTATACTGACATTTTTTGTCCTCCTTTAAGGCTCCTAAGTGTTGTGTTATTTTTTAAACAGTGTTTAGATTTCCTTTTGTTTTTCTTTATTGTAGGATTTGCTGAACACACATAGTCAATGACGACAGTAAAATTGTGGTCAAGTACTCTTCTGAGAGGGCACAAATCAATTAATCTTCTGTATTTAACAGCAACAAAGTTACTTTTGTCATGCATGAGAGCCAGAAGGTGGCATCTAAATCATTTATGATAAGAAACTTTATTTATCACTTCTGAAGTGTATTTATTACTTCTTTGTGAGTGGGACAAATTAACTGTGTTGGGGGTCAATGCTTGTATTAATTAGTTACAGAGTCATGTGTTTAAGTTGGTTAGTGTTCTTCTCTGAAACAGTCTGTATCTGAATCACATTGTTTTTCAAACCAAAGATGGACTTGATTAGCACTATTATTGTATTCGGTTTTTTAGAGACCCAAAGCAACAATGTTTTCCTGTAGATGATAAACCTTGCAAGATATATTCTAAATCAAATTAATAAAACATATACCTGTACTTGTTTGGGGTATGAATTTTGTTTTCAACAACATGATAATGTGACCCGACAGTCATATTTTTTCAATCCCTCATCCACTTACCTCAGAGTAAACAAAAAACCCATAACCCTTGATGTTACCGTTTATATATATATATATATATATATATATATATATATAAGCAGCTTCTATTTTTCTTTGGGAACAGTGTTTATGTTTATTTCAGAGGTGCTTTACAGTATTCCCTATCCACATCATTTAAACACTACACAAAAACTTGAAATTTGTTTCATCCTAAAAAAAGGTCAGTATTTCAAAGATAATATATTTCTAGGTTTTATTAAGCCTTATGGAAGACAAGTGTTTCCTCGTGAAAAGGAAGTGAAGGACGTGGTTCTAGATCTACTATTAACCAGTAGAATTTGCTTCCCAGCTGTTTTCTAGTAGTTAACGATTATCCGTTTTACATAACACTTTTAAAAGCGTTGCAGTTCGCTTTTTCAAAGACCTGACTGAAAAGTACCTTGGGCCATTGTACATTTATACCTGAAAATAACAAAACAACTTGCTTCACTATGAAAATTGATTTGAAAAAGTTAGAAACGGCGTTTCAAGGTGGTCGGCAAGCCCGGGGTCCGCAAGCAAATTTCCTTTCTCTGCTGTGAGATTTTTCCTGCTTTTTCACATTTCTCAAATACGACTTCTTGTCACTGGTTGTCCGTAAATAAAATTGAAGGGAAAACTAAACGCTTTGTTCGAGCTGGGTACTTCAACCGCCAATAAAATCCTTTTTTCAAGGGTTGTTAACTTAGAAAATTCGACACTCGCTGAGTTTGTCGATAAAAGCAGAAAAGAAATCGTCAAAACCGTGATAAAAAGGGTTAAAATTATTTCCGGTTTTCTTGTGGTTTGAAGAAAATTAGGCTATGTATGACTTTTTTATGATGTTTTGTATACATGTAAGTTTTCGCATAGTTTTTATGTAGTTAGGCTTCCCGTTTGGTGTATAAAATTATCGGGCGCTGGAGTCATTCTTCGCTCTCACAAGTTTGATAATCATTTACCCTGTCTTTTGCCTCTACTGGTTTTGTACCCTCTAACTGTCTTCTCCAAGGGCAAATCCTTTTCATCCTTTACTTCAAAACATGGCCAATGCGTATAGTCGAAGACAGAGATAGTGAAAGATGCAAGGAAAAACAAGACGCCCAAAACGTCGGATGTAAGAGGTTGAATGACTCTCGATAATGTGACGTCGCATTTTTCTACTATGTTGGAACCGATCGCGTCAGGCAGTTTCCTATCCAGTCTTTCTATTATCCATGTTGTTTGTTATCATTTAATGGGCGCTTTCTTGTCATCATGACAAGATAAACGTTGTTTTCAGTTTTATTAAAATTTACCAAGCAATCTAAATTAAAGAAAAAACCGTTGTTCAGTCTTTGCTTATTATTGACGGCTATAATAAAGTTTAAACGGCAAGGATAGGTAGGCGTTTCTTTACTAAAATCCGAATCCGGATTTTTAATCCGAAAACGGATATTTCCTTTCTTTACTAAAATCCAAAAACGGATCATTGATCCAAACGATCCACAAAGGAGGTGAATTCTTTGCATCATATCCAAAGCGGATACTTTAAATACATGATCCGAAACGTTTCTTTACTACGGATCCGAAAACATTGACTATTGCCAGCAGTAACTCGAGACAATTTTAATACATATATCAGCTTTTTGACAAAACTGCTTATCTTTATGGCCATTTTTGAACCTGAGTCATGGATTAAACGATCGATTTTATCCGTTTTATCGGAGTAGTAAAATCGCAATACAAACAGGACCTGCATTGTTCTAGTGACAAGGAAAAAACTGCTACACAACCTCGCCGGCGCATCTTGCACTGAAGACTTTACTTTTCCAATACATATCTTATTTCAGCATTCGTCTTCATTTGGCCCGTCTAAATCTAACCGTCCAGAATACAATCAAACATCAGCAACCTTGTCAGCAGCTGTGTTATTCTTTCTCCGTGACACCGTCGATATTGTGGGTCGTTTCTATGGAAATGAATGAAAAGTAATCCCTTTTTGGATACATCGTTTCTTTTCTCAATGAAAAATCCTAATGATCCGGATTTTTGATCTGATATTGGATTTTAGTAAAGAAACGCACCTTAAGATTTAAATTCAGTCTAATAAAAAATTGCTCCCTCCATGTCTTTTCAAGGGTGTGACAATGAGACAGCTCTTTCGTATATCAGTTCTTTTTGTCTTGGGTCAACTACTCTACAAAACAGTGACTCAGCGATGTGGATCCGAGAAATCCATCTTCGAACTTGTTTTAAGATAATAAACATCACTTTACATCTGCTTTGGGGCAATTGTCTGAAAACAACAGTGCAGCCGCAATAGTGTTATAATGTTCGTTTCATAGTTTAACTGGTTCGCAGAACAATTAATTAGCCCTTGAGCTGTTAATACGCATGACATGACTGTGAACGTTTTAATTTTCCACACAAGTTATTAGCAGCAACTTTCAAGTTGCGGCAGAGAAGGAAAAGAGGGGAACATGTATGTTCTCCTTCAAGTTGGGATTTTCTTCCTACTGCTGTTTTTCTTAAAGATTGCCTTCGCCTGCATTGATGGTATGTGTTCTAATTTCATTTTACAAGTTTTTTCTCAGTTTCTTTTTCAACTGGAAAAAGAATCTTCCGGGAGTGGGGAAGAGTTTTAATTCGTGTTAGTGTAGCCGCATCACGAGTTCCCCGTCGTGGAGATGTTCTTCAGCGGTACTATGAAAATTCTGCTACTCTATACTTCAAATATTAAGAAATAAAATATTTGGACTTGCAATATCTGGACATCTTCCATTGAAATACTACGTACGTGAAGGGTTTGCAAGAAAAAAATCAAAAACTACAGAAAAACATTTCAAAGTAGAGAGGGTCATTCCCTAAAATGCTGTCATATTATATAGCATTCTTTGCTCGAGCCAAAAATGTTTATCCTTGAAGAAAGTTTAAGTGTTGCGTAGAAACCCCTTCCGCACACATGCGAGAACTGTAACAGGGGCTTTATCAACAAGCCCATATCAAATTTCTTTCCATTCGATGTTCAATTGAAGACGAATTTTGCGCGATCTAATCCTGCCTTTTGAAAATCCGATTCCAGAAACTTACATATGAAGTGTTGAGTTTGACGAATAACCTCCTGAGCATAAAAAAAAATTGTAACTATCTTTGAATTCAAATAAAATGTAGATAAATTTCCAGTCTTTTAAGATTGGAGTAATAGCCGTGATACATAGACGAAGAGGCAAAAATTACTCCAAAGAAGTGTCATAATCTGCTTAATATCACATTTCTGCCTTAACTTTTGCCTCAGAAACTAGTTTCCGCGCGAAATGAGATCTGGTTGGTTGAGGCAAACGAACACAACAATTCCCAACATTGTTGGGCTAGACTTCAAAGCAGTCAGTGTTTTTCTCAAAATCAGTAAAGAAATCGGTAAAGCGTGGCGCAAGGGTCTTACGCGCGCGAAGCGCGCGAGCCTCACACGCCCGCCCGTAGGGCGTGTGAGGCGAGAGAAAAAAAAGTCTAGCTCTCTGTTTTCAGCCTCGTTCCAGACCTTTTGTTTGACTGCTTGCGCGTACTTGAATACGCAGAAATAAGGACTGTTTTGCAGTCTATTGTTGGGCTGACAATGTTGGGAGTTGTTGGGAGTTGTTCCGTTTGTACATAGCTAAGACTTTGAACGGTTCCAAACTTTGCGCATAGCTGAACGTCTGTGTCGGATGCATTATCAATGAAATTTTCTATGGCAATCAGCGTCATCACGAGGCGAATTTTCTAGAGAATTTTATAGAATCTGGGGTGTGAGTGGCGCCCCAGGAGTTTGAGGTTAGTAAACGAGACTGATTATGAAAGCCAGCAATCATCAAAGATAAAAACAAGAGTGCTGCCCTTTAAGTTGCTTTGCAAGACACAAATAAGGCACCAGTAGAACAGCGGGCTTGTCGTAGCCGTTGACAGCTGTTTCGCCATAATTGTGGTTCGTCAGAACCGCGTTGCAAACGGAGAAGCTCTGGTGAGAAATACCCTCACACTCTTGCCCTCCCGGAGACACGTGATATGACGTTATTCGGGGCGGAGCCTCCCGTTCCCCCTTATAAAACTTTGTCGACTGCTCCCCGGACGTCACCCTCGGGATAGGAACTCTAAATACTTCGGCGCCGCTTTACGCCGAGAGGAAATTGATGTTGAGAAAAATAAGGTGTAAAATTCTTCAACGTTTCAGAAACCGATGACTTCAAGATGCCCTTGGCACTCTTCACAATTTGTCTTATATCCGGGATGTACGGAAGTGAGGCTGGAGGAGGGCAATGTAAAATTTCAGAGAGATCATTCCCTGGTAAAGCTCTCAAGGGTCACACCTTCAAAGAGTTTGCAGTGAGGGCCATTGTTGAGTGCCAGAACACCTGTGAAAGAGACCCCATGTGTGCGAGTTACAATTTTTACATTCCGGGCAAAGTGTGCGAGCTTAACAGCCAGACCAAGGAAGAAAGACCTGAAGACTTTGTGACAGATGAGCTAAGGTTCTATATGAGACGAGAAGGTACGATAATCTGTCTGTTCTCTCCCGTCTATTTCCTAGACTTACTGATGGAATTGAGAACGTGTGAATGCCAAAATACGATAACAAAGTTCCAAGATGCAAATCGAATAAGATTGCCATGTATTGTATGCGCAACATTAGTAAGCTGTTCAAATAAAATCACACTTTGCATGACCTTGACTTAGAAATAACCCACATATTTCCTATGCTAAAATCTGTCTTGTACCATTAGATGATGATGAATGCTTGAAGACCCCACCCGTTTGTGACGTCAACGCAAACTGCAAGAACACTCTTGGCTCCTATCTTTGTTCATGTATAGAGGGCTTTACAGGTGACGGCAAAACATGTCAAGGTAAAATTTTGAAAAAAATTGTCCTGCAATTTTTCGCTTATCTAGGTTATTCTCAAATTCGTATTCGTATTCGCCTTTTTTGTATATAGAGGATATTATATGGCCGCTTGGGGATACGAATTTTATTTTCGAGTGCTAAAAGTATCTCTCACAAGTGAGCGAAGCAAAATGCCTGTCACAAAAATGTTATGAAACTCGGATATAAAGTTATAAAGGAGAAATAAAGACAATAATACTTATATTTTCTGTTTCAAAAAATCAAAATTGTAATGAAGAAGAAAAATTATGTTAGTAACCATGGCGACACCAATATCCCCACACGTGAAAGATAAAAATAGTATCTTCACTGCGCGCGATGAAGATATGATTTTTAGTAAAAGGAAAAATCCTGGTATTTCATCAGTATCTATATCATAAAAATATTTCATTTGCTGTTATGTTTACCACCTTTTTGTTTGAAGTAGAATTGAATTTAGTTAACATCTTTAAACATTTTATTTCAGACTCAGACGAATGCCAGATGAGCACACACAATTGTAGCAACAATGCCACCTGCATTAACACCGAAGGTTCCTTTAACTGTAGTTGCAAACCAGGGTACAGAGGAAATGGCTACAACTGTTCAGGTACCTGCTTGCAAAGTCTTTCCTACTTTTTCTTTAGTTTTAATGACATTTAATGGCAAACAAATTACACTTAAAATGTTCAGGCATAATATAGCTTCAGAGTTCGTTTTCGTCTTCAAAACTCTCCTAACATTTTATTTCAGACTTAGACGAATGCCAAATCAGCTCTCACAATTGTAGCGACAATGCCACCTGCATCAACACCGAAGGTTCCTTTAACTGTAGTTGCAAACCAGGGTACAGAGGAAATGGCTACAACTGCTCAGGTACGTGCTTGCGAAGTCTTTCCTATTTTTTCGTTAGTTTTAATGACTTTTTATGGCAAAAAAAATTACACTTAAAATGTTCAGGCATAATATAAGTTCAGAGTTCGTTTTCGTCGTCAAAACTCTCCTAACATTTTATTTCAGACGTAGACGAATGCCAAATCAGTTCTCACAATTGTAGCGACAATGCCACCTGCATTAACACCGAAGGTTCCTTTAACTGCAGTTGCAAACCAGGGTACAGAGGAAATGGCTACAACTGTTCAGTTGCGTGCTTGCCAAGTCTTTCCTACTTTTTCTTTAGTTTTAACGACTTTTTATGGCAAAAAAATTACACTAAAATGTTCAGGCATAATATAAGTTCAGAGTTCATTTCGTCTTCAAAACTCTCCTAACATTTTATTTCAGACGTAGACGAATGCCAAATCAGTTCTCACAATTGTAGCGACAATGCCACCTGCATTAACACCGAAGGTTCCTTTAACTGCAGTTGCAAACCAGGGTACAGAGGAAATGGCTACAACTGTTCAGGTACGTGCTTGAAAAGTCTTTCCTACTTTTTCTTTAGTTTTAGCGACTTTTTATGGCAAACAAATTACACTAAAATGTTCAGGCATAATATAAGTTCAGAGTTCGTTTTCGTCTTGAAAACTCTCCTAACATTTTATTTCAGACTCAGACGAATGCCAGATGAGCACACACAATTGTAGCGACAATGCCACCTGCATTAACACCGAAGGTTCCTTTAACTGCAGTTGCAAACCAGGGTACAGAGGAAATGGCTACAACTGTTCAGGTGCGTGCTTGCCAAGTCTTTCCTACTTTTTCTTTAGTTTTAACGACTTTTTATGGCAAAAAAATTACACTAAAATGTTCAGGCATAATATAAGTTCAGAGTTCGTTTTTGTCTTGAAAACTCTCCTAACATTTTATTTCAGACTCAGACGAATGCCAAATCAATTCTCACAATTGTAGCGACAATGCCACTTGCATTAACACCGAAGGTTCCTTTAACTGCAGTTGCAAACCAGGGTACAGAGGAAATGGCTACAACTGTTCAGGTGCGTGCTTGCCAAGTCTTTCCTACTTTTTCTTTAGTTTTAACGACTTTTTATGGCAAAAAAATTACACTAAAATGTTCAGGCATAATATAAGTTCAGAGTTCGTTTTTGTCTTGAAAACTCTCCTAACATTTTATTTCAGACTCAGACGAATGCCAAATCAATTCTCACAATTGTAGCGACAATGCCACTTGCATTAACACCGAAGGTTCCTTTAACTGCAGTTGCAAACCAGGGTACAGAGGAAATGGCTACAACTGTTCAGGTGCGTGCTTGAAAAGTCTTAAGTTTCCTACTTTTTCTTTAGTTTTAGCGACTTTTTATGGCAAACAAATTACACTTAAAATGTTCAGGCATAATATAACTTCAGAGTTCGTTTTCGTCTTGAAATCTCTTATAACATTTTCCTTCAGACGTAGACGAATGCCAGATCAGCTCTCTTGTTTCCCCTTTACAAAGAAAACGGTTACAAAGGTTATGATTACGCTTACTTGTACTGTTCCCTTTTTGTAGACATTGACGAGTGCAGCCGCGGTACTCACAACTGCCACAGTTCCCTTGCTTCGTGTACCAACACAGTGGGATCCTTTAGTTGTTCATGTAACAATCCTTACAGTGGAGATGGCAGAACGTGCTATCTACTGGTATCAGGTAATCAAATCGCCGAACACTAGGAAGGTGTCCATTTACTAGACCTCTATTCGGAGATGGCAAAACTTGCATTAATATTCCATGATATTCCATACGATAATTATTATCACCAAGAAATAGGAATGTGTTCATCCACTAGACCCTTATTTACTCTCGTTAGAAGCATGTTACTTTAACCTTGATTGTTTAAAGAGGGTTTCAGTTAAATGCAAATATTACCCAGATCTCTTGTCGACGAAGCCGAAAGCGAGATCTGGTCAATAAATCAAATTCAATTCTCCTTTTTATGAGCCACTCAAACTACCTAAAAAGTACTTTTGTATCGCGGGAGTGACATGAGTATTGTCATCAGCGCGCGCTATGGTGTCTGCAATTCATTCTTCTTGGTCTTTTCCCCTGTTGCTTGCTAGCCTGCGAGCAAACTCTCCTATTTTGGCGAGCAAAGCGAGCCTCGCGACAACGCGCGAGCGAGGGGCCGAGGAAAGGAGAGCTTGCAACGATCGCTCATAAATTTTCATTTCCACCCAGGAAACCCTAGTCTGCTACACAGCCGTTGTTAGTGTCGTCACGCATTCGTCACGCATTGCGTGACGACCCTAAAAACGGCTGTGTAGCAGACTACGGAAACCCCGGGACTCCGTAAAGGGTCAAACTGTCACCGCAAACGTGCCGCAGATTAGAGAAGTGCGGACCGCCTGTCAAGGCGTAACAGTATCAAAACAATGTTTTTGATCACTGAAGATATACTTTTTTTTTCCACGGGGACATCGAACTTCAACGTGTCCGCTCGGATGAAAACTCACTACTTTGATTCTAGTTTCGTTTACTTTTGAAAAGTCGTCCATTCTGCAGTATAGAAGACTACTCCCCGTCGCAATCACCAACAAAAACATATATTGGACTTATATTTGTCCGTTCCGGAACTGGAGAATAGCGTTTTCCTCACTTGGCTCTCTTAAGTTGTACTCCAGTTGCTCCACACTCTTTCTCTTGCCCTTCTTTACAGTCAAGCTACACCGCTACACTGTATCGGCAAGTACATGTTTCTGACTTTTTCTACCCAATGGAATTCAATCGGGCGAAGAAACCGACATTGGAAGGGAGCGCTTAAAACCTGACGCTTGAATCTCTCTTCACTTTCACTCTTCTCGTTTTCAGAACTAAACAACGCGCTTAACACAAACGAATACAACTAAGGAAGGGTTTTCATTTTCCTTCCACAAGAACTATAAAGTCGGTTCGACTTATCCTCGGCTCGCAATATTCTCTTTGGGAGAACTAAATCAAACGAGCCCCCTTGTCTGCTTTGAGGGCTGAAACAAGTTGTCGGTACCAATCTGCTCCCCCTGAGAACTAGTCTCCCTCGCAGCCGTTTTTTGAGCGTTGCGTGGCATCCAAAAAAGTCAAGTTCAATATTTCACCGTTTCTGATTGTCTGTCCCGCCGCTAAATCCTCACATCCGGCACACGGTTACCATATTTGGACGCCGATGTAGGCAGTACAAAAAACTTATTCACCAAAATGTCGAAGTTTTTTAACTGAGAAATCACCAGACTAATCCAATTTCACGACTGTTTATTCATCGATCCAAGAATAAGTTGGTGAAGTGATTCTTACATGTACAGTCACTGACCGGTTTGCAATTCCGCAAAACTTCATTTATAGTCAATTCCCATTATGTCGCGTCGCATCGCAGTTAGATGTAGTGACACTCTCTTCGAACGTTTTTCCCTCTTGTACGATACAGAATAACTGTGGAAATTTCTTAAACTTGGAGGTAGGTAGGTAAGGCAGGTAGACGCTTAGGGCCTGTTTACATGGAGGTGGGGGTCCCCATGTTAGTGAGGTGACTCGCTTAGGTAGGGTAACCCGCCTGTCCATACAATCTCTCGTGTGGTTACCCCCACCTATCATGTAAACTTGATCAAATTAAAATGAGAGATTATATGGGGGGGGGTTACGCACCTACACGTGAACAGGTCTTTAAACTGTGTACTTGAGGTTGTATATGTACACTATTTGCATAATTATATCTGACCGACCTTTGTTATTTTGGCAGCTTTTGTGTTCCCATTCTATTATTTTTTTTTAGTTAAAAAGAGAAAACCGTTATTTAGCAATCCTATTGAAATGAAATATTAAGTAATACTAATATTTTATCAGCCGACCCCATAAAATGGCTTTTCAGCCAACTTTACAATTGCAATTTGATAATTATCTACTTTACAACATGTGAAATTTATTGGAAAAATAAATGAAATAAGGAAATAACGCTTCTTCACTTCAGCCTTAACCTGATTGAGATTCGCTATATTACCTAACGATTCGGGAAAGACATTCCAGAGGTGGACTGTTCATGGCCGCTGACCAGCAGTGAATCGAAAGGAAGGCATGTCTAACTATGTTTCTGTTTCCAATATTACGAGAGTGCACATCGCCCATTTTAATTAACCTATTACAGAGAAGGGGAGGGGCAAGTCCCTTAACACTTGTTAAATAAACTCGAATTTTTGAAGGCTTGTCAAAAAACGCGTTTTCTGGTTAAAAAATCTCACGCTTATTACGCTCAAATGTTAAACCAGTGATAAAACACTGATGTTCGTGTTTTAAACATAACTAAACACAGAACGCTGTCAGACTAGAAAACCATTTTTTTTCCTTTTTCTACATTGAGATACATTAGAATAGAATTAAACACCAAAAAACATTCACCAACTTGGTGAATTTGACAATTAACTTGAACGAAATGGAATAAGAGTGATAAAAACTAATGTGAAACAGCGTGAATACACTTTTTTGTGGCGTTTTCGCTCCATGCCGTCGCAGTGGTGGTTGCTTAATATGCTCCTTATATGGAAAGAGACCGTGACTGATAGGGAGATCGGGTATGCCAAATATGGAGAATATGGACTCTACGCCTCCGACTGAGTTTAATAAACTCTGGAGGGGCTAAACTGTAATGTCACTGAAATTCGCAGTAGACTGCGAGATTAAAACCGCACCATTTGAAGAGAGAGCATCATTCCGCTAGCACGCAAGCTCAGAAAGAAAAAAAACTTTATAGGCGTTTGTAATTTTGCGCGTTTCAGCCTGATCATTATGATAACAAGCTTCAATCCGGTATCTGACACTTGCGCGAGCTTGCTTTTATAAAGGGAGGCTCTCCAGCAAAGTGTAGTTCGCTGCTTTCCGTTATTTACCCTATGACGCATCTCTTGAAGCACACGGATCCGTACAGAAGAAGAAAATGAAATTGCATGAAATTGCAGGCAATGAAAAAATCAAACAGGAATAGTTTTTTCTTCCTTGTGAGTTCATGGGCAAGCTAACTCAAGGAATTTTGAAACTCGACCTTGGTGCCAAAGTCAGTCCAAGGCAACCTCATAGCACAAGATCACTCAGTAAGATTTTTTTTTATAGTTACAAAGTAAAAGTCTCTTATCACCGACACTACAACGTTCTCATAAGCTCTATTTTTTTACAATAACTGAATTAATGCTCTTGTGCTGATTGGCTAATTTCTATCAATAATAAGAGAACAGACATAAAACTTTAATTTCTGCAAGACGAAACACCGTATACAACTTAGCGTTTCTTAAATTTACCCGCTTAATACGGACACCGTTTAATATGGACAACGTTAACGGACACTTTTTTGTATCCCGAGGCACAAACTCGCATACATTGTTTACCCCTACTATTTACGAACACTGTTTATCTTCGCGCTGTCTATTTTCCTTGTAACAATCACGTGCTAATTGTAGATATTGTACACTGTTCAAACAATGACAGATTTCTTTGGGTTTAAGAAGCAGAATAGCGTGATAAGTCAGTCTTTCCCGCGTTTGACCCTTGCACTATATAGCCATTAAATAATTTTTTTCTGCTACAAAAATTTCACTTCCTTATTGGCTTTTCGCCGCAGTCATTTTTCCTACCCTTCTTCCTCTTTGTCTGCCATAGTCTTTATATCAATACAATGTGTCCTGGACGTTTTTCCGGAGAGCCCACTTATTACGGCCATCCAGATGATACGGACACCAAGGCATTTCCCCTAATTGTCCGTATTAACCAAATTCTACAGACTGTAGTTTCTTTTTAAAAAGTAAAATGTTTTTTTACTCATCCTTGTTTCCAAACAATTGTTATTAATAGTTAGTTAATAGTTAATAGTTATTTACCTATTATTTCCCTACTTTATCGTATGTAGCAGAAATAACTCACCCATTTGCAGGCGCAAATCGAGGTAGCTTAAGAATGTCTACAGATATATTTGTCTCCCTTTCCCATGTTATTTCTTAACCTCTGTCTGTATGTCTACCAGTGTGTGAAAGTCACTAACCAATCCTCAATGACTGACTCATATGTAAACAGAGTTCGCCACAGTGGGGCAGGTGCTGGCGAATCTTACAGGACGTGAAAATTACCCACTTTGAACCTGTTTATGTACAGCAGATAAAACTTTACGAAACCAGTTAAACTACAAAAAAATATTAAAATATTAAATAATATTCTACATTTTTAAAAGTTAATTAAATTAATTCTTATGATAATAATTATAATTATAATTTTTTTTCTACATCAGAATGTCAGAATTACGGAAGTCTTAACAGCGCTGACAGAAAGATTACGTACGCTGTAAGCAGTTATTGTGACAATGGAATCGGACCTGGTTGGTTTCGTTTTGAGGGTTCCGCCGGTACAGGAATGCCAACTTCATGTCCACCTACATTCAGATGTGGCGCAAATGTACCCGGGTGGATGAATGGTGGACACCCTACAATAGCAGACGGTCAGGTCACCAGGACGGTGTGTTTTCATTATAGTGGTAACTGCTGTCGATGGTCAACAAACATCAAAGTGAGAAATTGTGGTTCATATTATGTGTACTATCTTAGTGGTACACCTAATAGTTTTTGCAGTCTCCGTTATTGTGGCACTAACTAAATACAAGGTGCAAGTAAAGTATTACATATTCTATCATTTCACTTAAGTAGGCTTCATTGTATTAAAGAAAGAATAAAAACGAAGAAAAGGAAAAACTGCACTTAACTTCAATATCTGAACTATTCTCAGCGGTCCTACCTCGCGCGTATAAAAGGCAGAGTAGACAAAGGAGTTATGCCATTCTCTCGAAGCTGCTGAGCTGTTCAGATTACCATGGCTGACCCGCAGGTCCCTGCAGATGCAGTCCAACAAGCTCAAGTTGTCTTACCAAACCAAGCACAAGAAGGTCAAGCACCGGCGGCGTTAGCAGAACAAGCTCAAGCACCAGTAGCGCCAGAGGAACAAGCTCAACCCCCTGCACAAGCGCCAGTGCAAGCAAACGAAGTTTCTTTGGAGGTTTGTGAAACTTTATTTTATCCGTTCGTTGCCACGTGTTTCGTTCTGGTTCTCTAGTATTTCGCTTCCAAACCTTGTAGGTTGTTTGCCCTACGCGAGCTGTTTTTCATTTCCACTTAGTATATTATTTGCCCTGCTTCTTAACCTTTGCCCGCTTTTCTACGGGCTGTGCGGGCTAAATTTTGTTGGATATATTATTCGCCCTGCTTCTTAACGGTTGCCCTCGTTTCGTATGGGCTGTGCGGGCTAAATTTTGTCTGATATATTATATGCCCGGCTTTTAACGTTTGCCCTCGTTTCGTGTGGGCTGTGCGGGCTAAATTTTGTTGATATTTTATTTGCCCTGCTCTTAACTTTTGCTTCGTTTCGTGTGGGCTGTGCGGGCTACATTTTGTTTGATAAATTATTCGCCCTGCTTTTAACGTTTGCCCTCGTTTTATAAGGGCTGTGCGGGCTAAATTTTTATTTGTATATTCGTTCTGCTTCTAAAAGTTTACCTTCGTTTCGTGTGGGCTAGTGCGGCATATAATTTTGTTTTGTTTACCGTATTACACTGTATTTAAATTGCTTTTAAAGTTTACCCTCGTTTTGTGTGAGCTCAGCGGGCTATATCTTGTTTTGCATATTATTTGCCCTGCTTTTAACGTTTGCCCTCTTTACGAGTGGGCTGTGCGGGCTAAAACTTTGTTTTGTAAAATATTCGCCCTGCTTTTAACGTTTGCCCTCGTTTCGTGTGAGCTGTGCGAGCCGTATTTTGTTTTGTATATTATTCGCCGTTATAAACTATTTGCCCCTTTATGTGGGCCTCGCGGGCTATAATTTTGTTTGGTTTGTTTTTCGCCCTGATTCTCAACCTTTGCCCTCTTTTCACGTGGGCTTCGCGGGCAATTCTGAATTCGTATGCTTGTTTATGTAGCTATATATGTTTATGTAGCTATATATGTATCTATATGTAGCAAGTACAACGCAACCGCCATAACATTGAATGAAAACAACGAAAAAGTCTTCACCTCTTACATCAAGCAAAACATCAATAATGCTCTAACTGAGCATCAACTTACCCTCCTTAAAACAAATAGAAAATTGAATTTTTATACTACCTTTAAGAACGATAATAAAAAAGCAGAATTCTTAAATATGATTAAAAACCCACTTCACAAAACAGCACTCAATAAATTTCGACTAGGAAATCATCGATTACATATTGAAACAGGCAGACACACAGTACCTAAAACTCCCGAAAATTTAAGAATATGTTATCTATGTCAGACAAATGAAGTTGAAAATGAACTTCATTTTCTATTCTTCTGCAAACTTTATGACAATTTACGTCTAAAATTCTTCAGTGAAATATCTGATAGATATACACTTTTCAAGGACTTAGATGTGACTTCAAAACTTTTATTTCTCTTTAATAGTATAGATCCCTCTGTTTGTAGATCAATTGCTGCTTTTGTTTTTGAATGTATGCGTTACAGACATGATATGTTATTTCAGAAAAGAATATAATCTTTTTATTTTGCTATATATTTATAAATGATATATTTGTACTTTATTCATAAATATTAGATAGGTAATGCCATGTATAGATATGGAAATACCTTAATAAATTGTCGTTGTTGTTGTTTATTTTCATCTTTAAACCCCCTTTTAGTTTTGCTCCGCGTACAGTTCGTTTAGTTGTTGCGCCTCCTTGTTTGCCCTTTTGTTTTATTCATTTGCGTATTTACCGCTCGATTACACCGGCAGTCCCGCTGGGGCTAGTTTATTTTGCCTGTTGTATTTAATTTTGTTTGCTTTTTCTCTCCCGATCTTTTATTATAAAAGCTGTTTATTTATTATTGCCTTGAATTTATTCTTGGATTTTATTATCGATGTTTTGTCGCTTTTAGGGCCTAGTTTTGACTGCCCATTTTCTTTTTTAGGCCTTACAACAGCGTATTAAAGCTCTCGAAAGTGCCCAAGGCACCTCAGTCGAGTCATTGATACAGAGAATTTCATATTATGGTGGCAGAAGAGTTGAGGACTTCGACAAGTACAAAGCGCTTCGTTACGCCGAAGAATTAGCTTCTGTTGCAAAGTCCTCCAGTCACCCCAAGGCCGCCAGCTATGATGTTATCGCTTCGACTTTGAGAGAGAAGCTCCACGTCCCAGCTGAGCAGTTCAAGGCGTATTTCCTTGCTTTGTTTGCTGACAAGGATTTTTCCCGTGTTATCGAAACGATCTCGAAGGTTGACAAGTCTTTCCAGCGGTCCACACCATTTCGCACACAGACGCGTAGAGGAAGTTTGCCATATCGGCAACCGTATTTTCAAGCCTATCAGCGGCCACCCTCTCGCGTTATTTGTTGCAAATGTGGTGAACCAGGGCATAAGTCACCCCAGTGTTGGAAGCGCGCTCCTTCTCGTCAGCCTTCTTCTGCTGCTCAGCCTCGATTTAACCATCCTTCAACATAATTTTGTTGTATCATCTTATGCAATAAAGATTTTCCTTTAGGCGAATAGTGCATTGTTTTTACTTGCCTTATGTTTCCTTTATTTTTTGTTATTTCGGGGTTACCGTCTTTAATCCTTCACCCTTTTATCCCTTAATACCGACTTACATTTTTATATATTTTATTTTGCCCACTCGCTATAGTGTTCTCCACTCGCTGTATTGTTGTCCACTCGCTATATTGTTCTCGCTCCTCTTTCTTCTTCCCTCGGGTGGCATTCTCAAGGGGAACGAATGTTCCCTCTCGGATTACCGGGGCTGAGTTTGCCATTCCCTGGGCCTTACCTATTCTTTCTTCTGTTCTAGTTTTTCAAGACGCCTTTTCATGACTGGAAAAGACTCCCAACTTTGATCCTGCCAAGATTTCTGTTAACTCGCCACGTTGGGTCAATTATAAGGGATCTCTTCTCACTGAGGCCCAGGAAATGGCAGACAACGCCCATATTAGTCAAGATTTCATCTCCTCAGTTATCGCGGGAGAAGCGTTTGCCGACGCCTCCCTTTTGGCCTTCCGTGACTCAAGTTCCTTTAGAGCGGGTGAACTCCATCGCCATATAGATCAATGGGACAAGTTATTTCAATCGTCTGATAACAATTTCTCTGAAGTACTGGACTGGATTCATAACTTTATCCACGTTGACAAGTTTTTTACCCATTATAAAGGAAGCTATAAGGAAGTCAATTATGACTGCGACAGACCGCCTGCTCGCATTTTTGCTAATCATCCTTCTTGTAAGGCGTTTGCCCAGTTTATTTCTGATTCTCTTATCGAGAGATTAGCTTCAGGCGCCATCTCCCTCTGGGGCAAGGTAGGGGAATGTCCACCTCCACACCTGGTCATGCCGCTTACAGTAGAACCTACCAAACCACGCCTTTGTAATGACGACAGATTTCTCAACCTTTGGACTCAAGACCGCCCTTTTAAATTGGACAGTGTTCAGCACTTACCCAAGTATGTTCTCCCTGGCTTCTTTCAAACTGTCTGCGATGACAAATCCGGTTACGACCATATCCAACTCTCAGTGGACAGCCGGATATTTTTTGGATTCGAGTGGGGCGGATGGTTTTTTGTCAGTTGTGGTATTCCATTTGGTTGGAAATCGTCCGCCTACATTTATCACTCCACTAGCCTCCTTGCCTCTCATTATCTACGGTCGTTTGGCATTCCATCTTCGCTGTACATCGACGACCGTCACAGTAGTCAGCTTTCTTTCCCTAATGGTTGTCTTCCGGTTGCTTATCAAAATTTGCCCTCCCAGGATAGCATTAATTTGGCTTTAGCCAACGCTGCTATCTTTCTTACGTGTTTTATCCTTTCCTCCCTCGGTTATTTTATTGGTTTGGATAAATCGACTTTGGTACCTTGCAAGCAAGTCCCTTACTTGGGTTTTATTTCCGATTCTGAGAAACAGGCCTTCATTTTATTGCCTCACAAGAAAAAAAAGTTTCTTACTCTTCTCAAGCAGGCTCTTAGTTCAGAATCCATCGACCTGATTACTCTCCAAAGGTTAGGAGGGAAGTGCATTTCAATGGTTCTGGCCGTGCCAGTTGCAAGGCTTTATACAAACGAAATTAACTTGGCCCTTTCTCGTGCTGTGCGCTCATCTCGACCGGTCAAACTATCCGGGCCCTTGAGACAGGAGTTGGAGCATTGGCTCTTTTTGGAAACCTGGAACGGCTTCCTTCCTTGGCGTTCCGAGAAACACTGCCATTTTCGTTTGTTCTCGGATTCTTCCTCTTTTGCTTGGGGAGGTGTATTGAGTCCGGGTGCCATTACTGTTAGCACTTCCGACTACTGGGATTCTTCTGTTATTGGGGCCGACATTGCTACCAAGGAAACTCTTGCCCTCAACAATGCCTTACAATCCTTTGGGAATACGGTCAGAAACTCATGGGTGGATGCATTTGTTGACAGTCAGGTTTTGCTTCACTCTTGGAACAGGCGTGGTTCCCGTTCCCACTCTTTGGTGACCGCTCTTAAGTGCTTGTTTCAAACTACCATGCATCTTAACGTTGATCTGCATGTCTACTATGTTCCTGGCCCTGAGAACCCTGCGGATTCTCCCTCCCGTTGGCTAAGCTTTCAGGACTCTAGACTTAGTCCAAAAACGTGGGATTTGGGCCTTATTCCCAAGGTCTTTAAGTATCTTAATAGCCTTAAGTTGCCATACACCCTTGTTGTCCCAGACGTGATCCCACGTCGTTTTTGATGGCCTTTGCTTCTGTCTGCATGCTCTTCCAGCTCCTTGCTAGCCTCTAAAGGGGCTAGTGGCGTTCTTCTCACCCCTTCCGGGGATGGCATCTTGGGTGACAGGCCGATCCCCTGGGACCTTTGGGTTTTCCGGATTTCAAATAATTAGACTCGCAGTATTTCATACTGTTTAAGGATTATCAAGCAAGCAAATCCATTTTGCTGTTGCATTTGATGTGTTTCTGTCATTAAGATGTAATTTCAATAAAGTCATCGAGTCTTGTACTTTTCGTCTCTCCTTGATTTTATTTAGTTATTTTCAACTATATTTGGTATTTATTCTCATTTAGTCTTTCATCTGTCTTCCCTATTAGGATCTCCCACAAGTACAGCGGTTTTTTATCCCCGCTGTAGCTTGCCCTTCATGTGCTTATGCCAACGACCATTTGTTTCGTTTTTGCCAAATGTGTGGCTACAAAAGAAAGTCAGTCCCACGTCAGCCTGCCTCGAAAATAAAAGTGGATCTCGCAGCCATTGATGCTCGTTTACAACAGCTTACACAAACGGCCAACACGTCTTCGTATTCAAAACAAAAATCCTCTTTGCGCGTGGAGTTTGAAACCTTTTTAGCCTCTTTGCCTAATACAAAGTCTATCTATTCCGCCACCCCCGAAGATGTTTCACGTTTTCTGATTTGGAAAGATGGTCACGGGAAAAGGGTTGTCCATGTAGCTGAATGTGTAAATGCCCCAAACCAAGATGCTTCTGATTGCGGTTGCCCCAAGCGACTCGCGTTTAAAACCGTGGATTCCTGTATTGGAAAACTTCGTACAATATTTAACGAGGAAGGCCGTTCTGGCGAATGGAATAGTATGCTAGGTTTTGGTAATCCTGCTGCTTCTTCTCCAGTCCAAGGTTATCTTAAGGCTGTATCTGAGGAACAATTGCGTGCTCATATCGTCCCCAAGCAAGCAGTCCCGTTTTTTCTACCGAAGCTCTTACTTCTGGCAAGGTTATGGGATAGAAAAATGGCGGATCCGGCAGTCAGCCCTTCCGCTCTCTTTATTCTGGCTCGAGATCAAGCAATTGTAATTGTAAATATCTTATTATCCACTCCCCTCAGGGCTTTTCAGGGATAATTTACAACACTGTTTGGGGGACTTTGCCAGACTGCTTAAGGTGCAGTTTACAAGTAGTGAAGGAATGAGTAATGATGCCCCCATACATGAGTGTGAAAGTGAGATAGGCCACTACACCGGGCACTACGTGCCCTACTCTTTACGAAGAGTGTGTGGGTTCTTTAACGTCCCACAGATTTAATACATGTGCAAGGGCTTGTGAGACGGGGCCTACGGTTTATCGTCCTTATCCGAGAAGACTAGAGAGTCTAGCCGTTTGCAGATATTATTACAAAGGCAGCACTTTCTCCTCAGTTATTTAAAGACCCTGAGTGTTGGTCCGGCCGGGGTTTGAACCCGCGACCTCCCGCTCAGTAGACCAGGGCTCTCCCAACTGAGCTAACCAGGCGGCGGTCAAAACTCTATTCTTCAGCGCGGATAGAGGTTCTGATCTGGGATGTGTGAAAACCGCAGAAATTATGCGTTTCCCTAAAGACGATGGCTTTTTATTTAATCATGTTTGGGGTAAAACTTTACGAGACGGCGCCTATAACGTCTTTGGAATTCGTCGCCATTCAAATCCCCAGCTTTGCCCGGTCAAGGCAATTGAAACATATGTGGCTGTCGCCTCAGAACTACGCATAACTCTCTCCAACGGCTACTTATTTCGCCCCACTAATCACCAGGGTCATATCGTCAATAAGCCCCTTACAAGTTCTTCCGCAGAAGCCCGCTTGAAATATTATTTAAAGGACGCGAAAATTGATGAAGGCGAGACTCTGCACGGTTTCCGCTCGGGCTCCGCCATTACCCTCGCTTTGTCTGGATCACAGCTCGCTGATGTGATGTCCCACGTGGGTTGGTCCAACAAGGGTACTGCCCTTTACTACATCAAGTTAGCTGAAGTTCTTCGTGAAGGATCTCCTTCTGACTTATTGTCTTCAAACGAGTTGGCGGCCTCCGCCTCCACAACTTTATATGCGGATCTTAATCGCTTAAAAGACTTCGTTTCTGCGTTTCCTCGTTCCTAATTTCTGTTTAATTTTTGTTAGGATGGGGTTTTCAGTTTGGGGTTCTCGTTTTGAGGATGGGCATCCGTTTGTGCGGTTTTTGTGGTTTCCGCCGTGGTATTTTAGGGTTATCTTCAACACGAGACTGTTGGTGCCCATACTCAACAATAGGCGTGAGAGAGACAGGTGAGAATAGACTACTATTCTCAGCGGTCCTACCTCGCGCGTATAAAAGGCAGAGTAGACAAAGGAGTTATGCTATTCTCTCGAAGCTGCTAAGCAGTTTATATTCAACATGTTGACCGTTCTCATTCGTTTCCTTTTACGCCTATCCTTCTCAGGTCTCGTTTCTGTGGCTTTTTCCCTCCCTACCCACCTCAGTTTTATATTAGGATTATATTAGTCAACAGATCGAGACTGTTGGTGCCCATACTCAACAATAGGCGTGAGGGAGACAGGTGAGAATAGACTACTATTCTATAACTTAAAGGAGTTGTGTCACGAAATTCAGCCAAATTAGGAAATTATAAAATGCCCGTTAAATTAAAAGAAACATAAAAATAACCGCTTAAAACTTTAAAGGAAGGTTAAAACAACATAACAGAAACAACAGATGCCACGGATGGGCAAAACTGAAGAAGATTGAAACGGATTGAAATTAGGGTTTTTGAAAACTGTTCAGCCTAACAGTTTTTCAAAGTTGGTCCCTGCTGCTTCCAACTTCAAAAATAATGCTCAGGAGACATATTTGTTTGTCTCGGATCTCTGATTTTGTCATTTACATGTAATTTCTTTGCTTACTTTAAGTTCCATAGCAATTGAGGGCGAGTAATTGGCAAAATGAAACAACTGAAAATGAACTGGACTGCCGTGACACAGCCCCTTTAGGCAAAAGGAGAACGTACTACTCGCGTTAGCGAGCAAGAACAGTTTTCTTGAAACTTAACATGAGGATATATAAATATTCTTTTAAAACATCAAGTAAGAAATAAATAATTGTAATGGCACTTACCACGAAGTCAAACTAGGTAAAATAATACATTAAATTAGCGATGCATTTTTCTGTGTCACTTGTCACGGTGACCAGAAATATACCCCGAGTCCAAGAACGCCATGCAGTTGCTAAATAAACTACGATGGACAGATGTTTTAACTTTGAAGAGGGTATTTGCTGACCTGTAGCACATGAGCGTGCCGCGGGCTCAAGTTTCAACTTATTTCGGTCATTTACTTTTTTACGGTTTTCCGCTGACCAGTTACTAACCTTTTTAAAATTGATCGCACACTCAAGTTAAACTTTTTTCAGCCGCAATATTGTTTCTTCTCTATTGTGAAACACAAATTCCCTCAAAAGGTTGTTTCATGAAAGTCCCAGTAATTACTAGAACCGGAAAGCTGTTTATTTTTTAATTGTTTAAAACATCCAAGATTGAGTTTTAATCACACTCAAAATCACAACTGGACTATGATATCATTGGTAAAACGTCGTCATCTGGCGTAAAGAATAACGTAGACATCATAATTTCCTAATATTTGCGCAATGGTAGCTCGATTTTATCCATTATCTCACCTAATTATAATTAGATTCTTATATCACTTGTATTTAACTGATAATAGTAGTTTTCCGGGTTGATGAATGCAGATATAATCAAGGTTAGAATTTTGAGTCCATGGGCTTCCCTGTTACTTTAATTAAAAGTAACTTCCTTTTCGAAGCTGGTTGAAGAATCTTTGGTTACTAATTATGTGAGAGAGGAATATGTTACAAAATCTAAAAATTATAGTGAGAAAAAAAAAGTAGTTCTCTGCTTGCAGAGCCTACTTTTTTAGTTACTCTTGGCACGCGTGCTAAAAGTTCCACCTCTACTTTTAGCTCGTCAAGACAGAAACTTAGACTCTTGCTAGCAGGGAAACATACCCGCCTCGTTTCCATATTTTTAAGAGTTATAAGCTTAGAAATTTTGGCCTATCTGCGAATACGTACAGCCGGCGAAACGTCCAAAGTGGTGTGAAGCGGTCAGAGACGGCTGTGTTAGAAGGCTAATTTGGGACTGCAGTGACAGAAATCAGATAACTAGAATGGGCTTTGCCACAGGTATCCCAATAATGCAACAAAAATGTGTAGAGTCAGAAAAACTGGTATTAATGGGGGACTCAAAAAACTGACATAAATTTCTGCGAACCGTAAATAATCGCGTTCAGAGAATCGTTCTTTGAATGTGTAAATTATTACTCTTCGTTAATTATTTCAAATAGTAAGACTAAGAAGTGTGCTTGCAGTGTTTCAAATGGTTCAGAGAAACAGTTAATGCTACTGTACTCAGACCCGATCCACAGCCCCCATCCCCAAAATTCCATACTACGGCGTCTTACTTGTCACATACAGCTATTAATTTTTCACTTGTTAAAGCTAAGTAAAAGTTTCAAACGTCCCTTGTTTTCGGCAATGGAAGCATCCCAACTTTAAAGCTCAGGCTGAAAACTCTGTCAATATCATGCTCATTAGACTGAGCGCACCCCAAGACTGAAGATGGGTCCACGTTGAGTACTTTAAGTGTTGTAATAGACTTGTGATTTTATCAGTTTTAATACTGGCTTTAAACTAGTGAACAGTTGTTATGGGTTCTTAAACGCGTCACATTATAATAGACCTTGTTAGCTTGTATCTTTTGTTTTCGCTTTTCAGACTACGTGATGGTAGCTAATCTATGCATAAATTATGAAAGGACAAAAGGAAAATTCCCTGGAGAACATCACGTGGTCTGAATTGGGAAAACAAAACGTACAAGCTACAACGTAGAAAGGTCTTTTTGGCGGCAAGTACTCTCTCTTCAGCTCCGAATTTAGTGCATGGAGTGCACACATGCGTGTGTTGAGCGGGACGAGAAAAGAGGGTGCCCTCACTCACTATTTTTAATTTGTAGTAACATATACTGCACACACAATAAAAAAAATAATGTTAAGGTGATCAAAAGTTGTCAGTAGTTTGTTGATGAAAACACCATGGGGTATCTTCGCTACAGAGTGAGCTACAACCCATCCACGATACAGTAATTGTTTATCCTTTGATGGGTTTATTGGGTAAAATGGTGGGTTAAAGAGAATTTTGTGAGTAAACACAAGATTGGATCTCCACCTCCTTCTAAGGGTCTTGGTCACAGTGTATAACACTTTCACACTATTTACAGATCCACCTTTGGTGCCAAAAATCTCTTAGCCAATCAGAAACAGCCCGAAAATTCATACTGGTTCAGATACATTTGCCTTCTGAGTCCTTGCACAGGCCCTGGATCCTGTTAAGAGCAATTACTTATACTCAATCTGCTGTTTACAGTAAATTTACATCCTAATGTTGAGGTGCTGTAAAAAACATCAACATTTGCAGTTGTTTTCCAGACCCTGTTGAGACATGAATGATTGTTCACGCCTGGTTAACCATGAATTTTTTTTCACCCATGAAGAGTAAAACATTCACCCTTAGTCGAACAAGAGTCTTACAGTGCGACTACAATAACTGGGGCCACCCCGACAAAGTTGACCAATTGGATTACAGGAAAATAACAATACATTCTGAGAAAGTTAGTTGTCAGTCATCAAAATTGAAATAAATAACAAAGATCGAAATCAACCAATCACAGCCTACAGAAGTGACCTTTTGAACCCGCAGTAGAAAGCCTGTGTTTCCTGACAGGTCTGTTAGAATGAATGATGCAGGCAAAAAACATAAATGTTATTTAAATCTTTGACATGAGGTTGTGATGTTATTGCAAAGAACGGCAATGGTTGCGAAGAAATTGCTGGTAGATGACAAAATGACAGCTTGTGCCCAAAACAAATATGTCTCCTGGGTGTAATATGTAAAGATTCAAACAGAAAAACATTGCCTGGTGAAACATTTTGCTTTCTTGAAAAACGTTTGCTATCAATATTATAATTTTGTGCTTTGAGTAACTTACTGTTTTCTTACAAGCTGCTGACTGGCCCACAACCAACTTTCGTGGAGTGTATTGTTACTTCCCTGTAATCTGATTAGTCAACTTTGTCTACGTTGCCCTGGTTACACAGCGTTCCAGTTTATTCTTTCATGTAGACCATCTGAGGGGTCACCAAGACCACATGCTAATTTTTTTCGTCATATTTTACTTAACACATATACCATCTGTTGGGCCAGAAAGCCTTCTCTGCCGGGTCATTGACCCGAGACACATTTCTCATCTAGAACAATGGTTACAGTAGTCGCCCTGTTCTGTAACATTCAGTTTTTTATTTGGTAAGAAAGACAAGCTACGTTTAAACCAAATTAGCATTTACAATTTTGATTGAACTAAAACAAAGATAACTAGAGTGTTATGGAGTGCATTCAAATTGCCATGCTGTACACCGTCAAGAGATATTTGTCAACTACTTTCCACAGCTATAGATAACTACATGTAACAAAACATTTGAGGAACATTAACAAAGTACTGCAACATAACTGGGCTACAACCTATACTTCCTCTTTCTGAATGTTGTTTGTATTATGTGCTACAATGTACATAAATTATTACTGACTTCTGGAAAAGAG